GGTAAGGCACCCGCCGGAAAAGGGAAAAAAAAATGGCGGACAGCCTTGCTTGGCGACCCCCGTGAAATGGTCGATCGACCCCAAATGGGGTCGCGACCCATAGGTTGAGAACCGCTGATCTAACAGACGTGTTTTGGGGAAAGGCTAGAAAATAGTTGTCTTGGGCACAAGTGCTATCACCACTGAAAATGGAAAGGAAGGGCTTTAAAATGGGTTTTCAGCACCATCACTATCACCACCATCTTACCCTAGGATTGATTGCAGAAACCTTACCCCTTATTTTTAAATGTACTTTAAGATTATTTTTCCTCTAAGAAAAAGCAGTCTTTACAACTCTTGACAGCTTTTTTTCTGTTGCTGTTCTATGTTATGCTCAGGCTGGCCTCCAGCATCAACACAATTTTACAGAAATACGCCATATAAATGGAATTAAAAGCTTTGTGACAGGAAGATACAGCATTTGCTGCACTCTATTTGTCTCATAGCCCAAAAATCTGAAGATGTTGGGAATCATTCTATCCATCCTCAAAATGTATTGCCAACTTTTAAATAAAGAATTGAAATGTCCTATGGGTGCTTCATGTTTTAAAGAAAGTTGGATTTATGTTTTCCAATATTAAAATATTAATTCATCAAAAGCCTTCATGTTTATTAGCAAATGTTCCAAAAAAACCCCCCACACTACCTATCATTTAATAAAAATGCTGGTGATCTAATGCATTTAAATAAACTTTAACCGGTATGTTTTGGAGCTGGTCTTTGGTTGTCCAGTGTTGGTTTAAGATTTGTATTTTTATTAATAAGATTTTAAGATGAGAATTAAAGTTTAAATATGTGAACATAAAGCTCAATTATGTACCAAATTTTTTGAATATGTCAATTTGTAAAGAACTTTGGATATCAGACTTACATATCAGAATGTAGCAAACTAGATAATGTGCAGTTGGGGAAAAAAACTCTACTAGCCCAGATGTAAAACATTGGATAGAGGACATGTTTTGTTGCTTTCAACTTTCCAAATGGCCCTTTGTAGATGAAATATAAGTTGGTGTGATTGGCATTTGTTCTAAAAAGGAATATTTATATTTTGATGCATTTTAAGATTTTTTCCCTCTTTAATTCTGGCAAAGTATTTTTTTTATATTCTGAAACACATGTAAATGCAGGGTCTCTAGGGTTTTATAACTGTAGGAGAGAAGGTTTGGATTCCAACTTGACAGATCTAAGCGTAAACATACTGGATGCAGGAAGTAGTTTGAACTGCTTCAAAGGCTACAGCTTTTAACAAGCAAAAATGACTCAACAGATTTTACAAGGAATCTGAGTTACTTATTCCACAATACTGTAGTGTCCAAATTAAAAACCATTTTGAAGGTTCTAATAACCATTGCCCACAAGCAGGATGCTTATGCCCAATTTATTGGTTCTTACCATAACTCTTCTATACATCTCCAAAGAATGACAATTGCAAATTATTTGCCTTGAAAGGGATGCATTAAAAAGAGGAAAGCATTTATTTAATGAGATTTAACAGGAATTGGATTAGGAATCAATAAAATAATTAAAACAGAGCTATCCCTTATTATACCTTTGCTCTCTAAGGCAAGAAAATATAAAACAGATACCAGCCAATGAAGAAAAGGCAAGGGGATCATATAATGCAATCAAGGGCCTAGTTAGTCCAGCCTTCTAGTCTGGATAGTCGTTCTGAATTTATAGAAAGATATCCTGGTTGATGTTCCTGAATGCATGTTATAATAGTGCCTTTATGTATTATATGGAATTGTAAATAGGTATACAAAACACAGCCGTGGCCAAAGTATGGAAAAGATCAGTTTATGTTCCTCTAGCATAAAAGAGCAATGCTCTTGTACGGGCTCTCGCGTTCTGGTTTTCTGTGCTCATTATCAGTTCCTGGTTCAGAATGTTTTCAGAATAACAGAGATGGAAGAGATGTTCTTCTAGTGAGTCCAACCCCTTACTCAAGTAGGAGACTCTTAAGTCTATACCACTTCAGACAAATGGCTGTCCAGTTCCTTTTTTAAAGCCTTCAGTGATTGAGTACCCACAACTTCTGAAGGCAAGCCGTTCAACTGGTTTATTGTTGTTAAGAGTTTATCCACTGGTTTATTGTTGTTATTGAGCTTCAGGTACCTCTAGACTTCACTTGGTGCTCTTGAATGCCAGAGTAGTCTCTTATAAAACTCTTATCCTATATTTAAAATTCAGGACTGATTTAGTATATTACGGAGATATGGCTGGGCCTAGGGAGGGTGCCATCTGAAAGATGCCCATACACAGGCCACTATGTTTGGCAAAGGCTGGGATCCCACAGCTGGAAGAGGGTTGCTGTTTTTTGGGGGGCTGTCAGATATCACTTGCTGGAGTGATATCTTACTTGCCTAATTGGGCCTTAGGGATCAATTGGATTTGCTGCTAATTCCAGCCTCTGTGCCCATACTGCTTGATGTCATGTCTGGGCTGGTGTTGCAGGTTTACGGTCTTTGGGGTTTCAACTTGCTTTCCTTGGGTGCAGAGTCAGAGGCAGCCAGGAGCTCATGGCCACCACAGCCTTGACCTAGATAACAGGCCTGATCTACACGAAGGCCATGTGCTAGATCTGGTCTTTGTTTTGGAGGGATGAAATGCGGTCTGAGGAATATTGCCATCAGTGCCTCGTCATGGACAGATCACTCCGTTAGCCTTAGAATTACCACACCATCCCCTCTTTGCAAGGAGGCACTTGATCTGCCCTAGGTGTTTAATGGATCCATTTGGATTTCAGGGGAAACTTGTAGCTGGGTCATGGTTTGGCTGACTGCTTGGAATGAGTTGGCAATGGCAGCTTTAGATTAGGCTGTGCCTGTGTAGATGCTTGCTGTCCACAGCCTGAGCCCAACATTTGTGTTGCTAAGCGACATGATTGTAAAATGAATTTTGCCCCATTTTATGACCTTTCTTGCCACAGTTATTAAGTCAATCATTGCAGTTGTTAAGTTAGTAATATGCAAAGTGAATATGGCTTCCCCATTGACTTTGCTTGTAAGAAGATCGCAAAAGATAATGACACGATGCCAGCACACTGAAACTCTCCTAAATATAAGTCAGTTGCCAAGCATCTGAATTTTGATCACATGACCATGGGGATGCTGCAATGGCTGTAAGTGTGAAATATGGTTATAAGTCACTGTTTTCAGTGTTGTTGTAACTTTGAACAGTCACTAAATTAACTGCTGTAAGTCAAGGACTATTGGTTCCATTAGAATAGTGGGGTCAAATGGCACATCCTCCCTCTTTAAATTCTATTCAGTGTTTAGGATTGCTTAGCAACTGCATCACCTTGTATTTTTCATTTACAGATATAAACTATAATCCTAACAAGCATATTAACAGCAACAGGAAAAACTGAATTCTTGGCAATGAAAAAAAAATCTCATTTGTACTTTTAACACTGAACTGTCTTTCAGTAACCATCTGTAAAATACAAACTAAAACCTTAAAGGATTGAATCCTCAAGAAACTTTGGAGTAGATGTGTTGTACTGCTGCTCGTTTCAGGGCTGCAGTTGGAAAATTTAACTTCATGATGTGAATCCTCGTTAATCCAACGTTACCTACACCAGGGTGATCAATCTGCAGCTTCTCTGATCTAACAGCTGAATGTTTATAGCAATTTCCCATAATTTTGATAAGGGAAATGTAACAAATACTGTCATGCAAACTGTGTACCGTATGAGATGGGTGGTCATATAGGTTGAATTTAAATATAGAAAATATCACATACACAACTACTCCACATTCCCAGCCATATATCCAAATCTCCAAAATAATATCAAATCTGGATTATTTCCCTGCCCTCTGCAATTTTGTTAAATGCGTTTTTCAGCAACCAGCTATGAGCCACGTTCTCCAAACTTGATGCCTATAGCTACTCAGCTAAAGATGGTGGGGATATATTCCAACAAATCCAGAAGACATTGTGTGGCTCATGGAAGTTCCTAAGTATTATACTATTTTTCATAGATCCATTGATCTCCATGAGAAGACCTTTGCCCACTCAATTTCTATATCCAAGTTTGTTATTGAAGGAGGAACAATGAAAAAGCATCCATCCTCAGACCACTTCTTGAAATTGCCTAAAATGGGAAGCTTTGTGAATAGTTTATATGAAAGCTATCATCTCTAAGCATTATCTTCCACATGTTCATCATTACATAAACAAGAGTTGGTTTCCATGTTCCAAATAGAACCCCATTTTCTTTTTGGGCTGATTGTACTCGGGAAGCCCCATTTTTTCCAATCTACACAATTTCAACAGCATTGAATTAAGTCTTTGAAGAGGGCTACGTAAAACAGAGGAGAGGAATAGCATCTGTTCAGGCATTCCTTCTTGACTTTTTGCTCCAAATGATACTTCTAGGCATGTCATATTTTATTCTGGTTGTTTGGAATATTTTACTATCTTTGTTTCTCAGATAATAGATCTTATTCCACTCATTTGCTTATACTAGATTTTCAACTGATAAGTTAGAGTAATTATGGCTCATGAAAGAGCATTTGATTTCCAATAGATGTCAGCATTATCCCAGTTATGTTTACTATTTCTAAAGAAGCACACTGAGGATGACAGATTAAAATACAGCAGCAATATCTTGGTTTTTTTTTTTTTTTACCAATTTCAGTCAACACAAAAATCATATTTTTATACTTTATTTGTAGTACAAAAAGATGAACTACAGTGGTCCCCAGGGCTACTTAAGAGCATTATAAAAAAGAAAGAAAATAAGATTTTAAAACATACGCGCTTGCACACCCCATTCAGTTCCATGGAATTATATATAAGTAAACAAGAATTCTTAAAGTATATAAAAAGATATCTACATCAAAAAGACTTGTTAAAGAGTTCAGGACACATATTCACACATCAACAGAGGTTTCTAAATGTCCTCTTTTTGTACCAAACTTTAAAAAAGGCAGTGTTACACTAGACTATANCAAGCTGGCTGTGGGAATTGTGCACCCAACATATTTTGAGATTGGGGAAGATTGCTCAAGACGAAGAATTAAAAGAATTCAAACTTGACAGAAGATTCTCCCCAAGAAAGATACATGGATAATAAGCATCCCATTAGTTCTTGACAGATAGTCATCATTTTCATTATTTTCTGCAATGCACCCTTCAGACGATTCCAAATAAATCCTTGCAGGAAAATACTACCATCATGCTGTCTAATTTGTATTTAGGCACAAGTAAAATTGTGCTGAAGTGATTATTCCTGGGCTTCCTTGCGAGCCAATTTGTAAACCTGGGTTGGTCCATCCACATGAGTGATAGTAGTAGTGAGCTGAAGTTCTTCTCCAGTATTAACTCCCAAATCACCTGAAAACACAAAACTGCATTTGAGATGATGCGTTACCATGATGATAGTTTTATTGCAAAATTACCCCAGCATTTATAAAGAAGTAAGCAATGGAGAAGTTTCATGAATGGACATGGTTTCCACTAATAAAATGGGGGAATGGCCTATTTCTCCACTTTGTGCATGCATCCACATATTTGTTCAGTAATAGTATCTTCTTTTTAACAAGCAGAGCTCTGTATGTGTGTGTGTGTGTGTGTGTTTGTGTGTATGTAAGCACACAAATGGAAATGAACGTAACTATTGTGCAATAGGACCTTTTTTAAATTTAAAATAAATATTGTGCAGTAGGACTTGCATTTAATAAGTGTGTATAAATCTCAGGAGATAAAGAATCTGAGAATAATCTTTCAATTAATTCAGGATCTAGTACAAGATTTACTTTGATTCAGGATTGTGCCACAAGCTGTTACAGATCGGCTGTACTGTGTATAATCAAAATGGGAAAAAATCAATTCTCAGATCCAGAAATCCTTTTTCCATTCCTTCCTTATTGTATATTTTCACAATCTAAACTTCCTTTAACTTTTTCAGAAAGCCCTTCTTACTGTTCTCTCAGGCCCAGGGGTCAGGAGATTAGCTGAACCTATGAAGTAATCTATGTTACTTTTTGCTTTTTTATGATTACATTTATTATTATATTGTTTGCTGCTCAGACCACGCAAATGGCTGGCCATATCAATCCAATCAAATTAACCACACTAACTCAGGATATTTATTAGCAGTTAAAACCCATAATCAACAGAACTATGCGTACAATGCTAGGGATCTTCTAATCGACTGATTCATTGTACTACAGCACAATCGAATCACAACTGCAGGAAACTGCATCTCACCATTTGACTCATCTTCACCGTACTTTTTATGGGAAGGTGCATACAGGAACATCAGGGCAAAGACATAAAGATTCCACATTCCATAAATCCCTGTGAAAAAGGCACTGTTCCAATGAAACGTAAAGTCGCCCCATTTCCAGTGACCTTCAGTCACCTACACAGGATGAAAAGTTGATATATAATCCAGCAGTGAAGACATAAGCGTAAAGTTAGCACAGACAGACAATCAACAAACAAAGTCAATGATTTTCATCTCCGATAGAGGGACTTCCTCATCCCCCAAAACATCTATTTCTGACCTTCACTCCACTGCATGGCTTTAACGGGCTGCTCTCCCTATCTGCAGTGAGCCGACAACAAGAAAAGCAGCTGGGTTTAATGTTAAATCAGGGAAAGAGATCTGTGACGCTTCCTCTCCCCCCCCCCCCC